TCAAGTTCTTGTGGACCACTACTCTCTTGTTCCTGCACATCTGCAGTCAAGATGCTAACAGCATGTTCCACTTGAGTTCCTTGGTTATGAAACTGAAGGGTATCTTTTTCTAGCATAATTTTGCAAGGCACATAGTCTGTGTGGAATTTGGTCATATGCTTACGGAGTGTTCGAGCATCTATGTAGGCTTGACTGCACACAGGACAGACATAGGGCCGTTCTCCAGTATGTGTTCGAACGTGGCGTTTTAGAGATCGAGCATCAGCCCAAGCTACTCCACATGTTAAGCACTCAAATGGTTTCACCCCTATTAAAAAAAAAAAGTGTGTGGGATGAGGTACAAGCACCAACAAAATTCATAAAAACTGCTTGGCAATAGTTTAGCCCAGTAAGGCTTTTTACTTTGACTAAGGCAATCTTGCATTTCGCATCTAATGGTTTTTCTTAGAACAGACAAGTGAACAAGATTCTAACCAGGATCAGCATGAGCCTGCCACAGCACAGAGGCTAAGCCCAGAGGATTCCAAGTGTAGCCCCACGTAGGCAACTGAGCAAGAAAGACTATCTCAGAAAGAAAAGGGGGCTGGGCATAAAGTTCAGCAGTACAGCCCAAGTTCAATCACCCACTACCAAAAAATAAATAAGACCCTTACCATAATCTATAACTATTTTCCCATGGGTAAAATTGACTGACAAATGTTTCTATATATAGTATTTATTCCTTCATAGCAATTCTATAATCAGGATAAGAAAACAGAGCCTTTAAATCATTACATTCTCACTTCTATCACTTGAACATATTTTTCAGGACTGGGGACTAATCGCTTACCAAAGTAAAGTAACAGGCAAGCAGGATGGTATCCCCAAGAGGGCTAGCAAGGAAAAAAATCACTACTTGACTGGCTCTTACTCATTTTATTTTATTTTTTTAAAGATTTATTTATTTATTTATTCATTCATTCATTTTATTGTGTGTGTGTGTGTGTGGCCAGCTCAGCCCACCAGGGGGCGGGGCTGGCTGGCATGTGGTGCTGGGGGATTGAACCGCAGTCCCTGTGCTTTGCGAAGCTTAGCTTGTTCTAAGTAGGTGCTTTAGACCACTGAGCCATCTCACCAGCCCCTCTTACTCATTTATACATGTAATATAGAATACTTACCTTCGTGGTTGTTCATATGTCTCCTATACTCTCTCAGCTGAGTGAATTTTCTTCCACATTGTTCACACACTCGTTCCAGGTTTTGCTTTGCTCTTCCTTTCTTCCCATGGGTGGCTTTCTTTACATGCCTTCTGAACAAAGCTTTTTCATAAAACTCTTTGCCACATATATTACACCTAAAATAGGGGAAATGACCTGAATTATTTTTTTCCAAGGCATGAGAAGTCATAAGAATCACATACCTAGTTTTTCTCAGGTCCAGATTTTTCTCAGATTTACCCACCTATAAGGTTCAGTGACAGAATGAGACTTCACATGGGAATACCAGTCTTTCTTCCAACTATAGCACTTATCACAAAACTGGCACTGGAATGGCTTCACACCAAGATGTTTGTTCATGTGTTGGCGAAGGTCTCTAGCTTCAAAGAAGCTTTTTTCACATCTGCAATAAAGTGTAGTGGCCCAACTAGATTATCTTAATCCTTTATAACAAGTTTCGAAGCATTCTATACATTCTTAGGTTTTCTAGAACGCTACAAAATGAGTGCCAATTTTAAAAGGATTCCCTAATTTTCCAATCTGACATCAAGAATTCAGTTTTTAGGTTCTTAAACTCTACAGCATAGGATACTTGAGAAAAAAGTCATGGACCGTTCCCAAAAGATCTGAGACAAATAATTTACTGTCCATCTCTCTTCTGCCCTGTCCTGTTCTGTGCTTTTACATCCTCTTCACTGTGTCCATGTGCTGAAGGCAGGCTTTAAGGGTGAATATTCAGAACTAGGTCAGTCAGAGCACAACATTCCCCTGGCCATGGTGATTTACTCCAAGCTGTCCAAGTGACTTACTTTTATCGAATCAGAAGGAACCTAAAAAACTACCACATAGGAAGCTAGAAAATCTGGTAGTTAAAAAGTTCAGAGACTGTGAGGCTGAAACCACTACCACTGCCTTGTCCACTAGGAGCCCTAGAAAAACCAAGGACTAATCAATCTGAATCTAGCTTAGGTTACACCATGTCTAGACTTTACCTTTTATTCAAGCCAGTTGTGATTGCATTTTCTTTCACTTACAATGAAAAACGTATTGTCAATAAACTACCTTTGTTTTAAATTAAGACAAATTGTGTGGTGGTGCATGCCTGTACGTTCCTAGCATTCACAGCTCTAAAAGATTCCCCATCATGGCTCTTAAAGGTTCACCATCACTGGTTTACAGTGACTACCTGAGTGTGGGGTGTGCCACTCCTGTAATCCCAGCATTTGGGTGAGGCAAGAGGATGGGCATAAGTTCAAGGCCAGCCTGGACTAGGTTCTGAGACCTTATCTAAAACAGAATTTTTTTTTTATAGCTACCAGGCAAATGTTTAATCAAAACAACAAACTACTGAACCTCTATAATTTAGCCATAGTTCGAAAGACAACAACTTGCAATCCCAATACAGGCTCTTTTACCAAAGCAAATTCCTATTAGAGAACTGTGTTGTCCTGACCTATCTAACAGCTTTCTGAAAGAGTTCTTTGATTTTATTTACCCTCTGAATTGTGTACCCCACCATGATTAATTTTATTACATGAATTTATACTCAAAAATTTGTTTTACAAGATGACTTAGAAAATGAAAAATGGAAGTTAAGGATTACATGTAGCAATTACTGGAATAGGCCAGTTTGAATGTTTCATTGTGTAATTAGTACTTTTACTCTGAAAAGGATATTGATTTGACTGAAAATTATAGGAAGTACAAACAGTACTTCCTTTTTCTTTTTGGGTAGAACTGGGGTTTGAACTCAGGCCCTTGCACTTTCCAGGCAAGCACTTATTCTACTGAGCCATCTCCATGGCCTGAGTACTTCCTAGTAATAACTGGAAGTACTGCTTGTAAGCATTTTGTATTTCTATGCAATTTGTGATAAAAATTAATATACTTTAGATTATTATTTTTTGAAAAAGAAAAAAGGACAAAGTAATAAAAGTGTCCCAAGGAAGGGCAATTAGCAGTGCCCCACTCTACAGAGACACAGTCTTGGGCTGAGGATACAGGTAAGTGGTAGAGCACTTGTCTAGCGCGAGGTACAAAGTCTTCAATTTAATACTCACACCACCACCTAAACCAGAAAGTCAAAGAGGAAATGCCCGGAAAGGAATTCTGGCTGTCTGTAGACCTTTGTTTTCCCCAGAACTTCATGCCTAGAGAGCACATCCTAATAAACAGCAACACTTAGATAAAGGCTGTTTAAAATGAAGAGTAGACTGAAATCACAGCTTAGTATTATCTTTGAGTATTTTCTTATAAATTAGCCAAGTAAGATAATGAAATAAATAGAAGCATATTAAGTGCTTACTGAGTACAGTGATAGCCTCGAACCTCAGGCTTTGGCTGATGTTTCTTTAAGTGCTTGCTGAGTCCAGAGCCTCTGTGAAAAGACTTTCCACACACTGAGCAAAAGTACTTTGACTCTCCTGTAAAAAAAATAAAAGGTATGTTACAAATCTATCAATCAGGTCAGCTACCAACAGAATTTTTTTTTTTTTTTTTTTTTTGCGGTACTAGGGATTGAACTCAGGACTTTGTGCTTGCCAGGTTAAGTGCTTATTCTACTGAGCTATCTCCCCAGCCCTCCAACAGAATTCTTTATTATCTTGTTATCTTCCAGAATTTTTTTGAGTTAGGTCTTGCTAAATTGCCCAGATTGGCTTCAAACTGGAGATCCTCCAGCCTCAGGTTCCTGTGTGCTGGGATTACAGGTGTATGTATGCCACCACACCCAGTTTCACAAGTCCGTTATTTTATCACAGGACTCTAACATTAGCAAAATTCTTTGTAAGAACAACAACAAACTTGCCATAATCGTCGTCTTTTCTTTTTTTTTCCCAGTACCAGGGATTGAACTCAGGATCTTCCCCTTGCCAGGCAGGCACTTATGCTGCTGAACTATATCCCCAGCCCCATTTCCTTTTAAAAGTATGATACAGTCATTTTTTGCCAAATGAAATGGATAAATTCTGAGGAATGTGTCACTGGTGATCCTTTTGTGGTTCAAACACCTTGGAGGGTAGTGATACAAACTACAACATCTCCAGGCGATGTCATTTTAGGAGAACAACAGTGTGCTTGAGTTCATGGCTGATGGCACCAGCAAAGGTTCCTACTTTAAAAATGAGAGGTACTGGGGCTGGAGAGATGGCTCAGTGGTCTAAAGCACCTACTTGGAACAAGCTTGGCAAAGCACAGGGACCGCGGTTCAATCCCCCAGCACCACATACCAGCCAGCCCTACCCCCAGGTGGGCTGAGCTGGCCACACACACACACACACACACACACACAATGAATGAATGAATAAATAAATAAATAAATAAATAAAATTAAATTTAAAAAAAAAAAAAAATGAGAGGTACTTACAAAATCTCTGAACTCTAATAGTGCCAAAGTTGAAAACCAGCTCTATAAGAAGCACCTGTCTTTTATTGGTCATTCTCAGATTTTTTTTTTTTTGGGGGGGGGAGCAGCTTATTCCTGGGTATTGCATTGGTTCCTTCCTTCATTCATTTGTATTTGAGACAGGATCTCACGACACAGTCCAGGCTGGCCTCAAACTTGTGCCATCTTCCCGAGTGCTGGGATTACAGGCATGCACCACCACACCTGGCCTTTTTGTTTCTTGAGTCAGGCTGGCCTTGAATCCTGAACTCAAGGAGTGCTAGGATCAGAGAAGTGTGCCACCAGGCCTGGCTACATATTTTTTCTAAAGCCTGGGAGACTAAAAATTCCAGTGAAGATATACACCATCTACCATGTTGACATATCCATCTGCTTAAACTTCTTTTTTTTTTTTTTTCTTAGAACTTGTTATTTTGTTATCTATTATTATTTGGATTTTGAACAAAATTGATGGAATAGGAGCCAGTGGAGGAATCTTGTTTGATCTGGAAATTTTCTGTGGAGAGCCCAAAAGGTCGAAGAACCAAGTTCCCAAGATCTTTTAGTTTACCTAACATCTCTTCTTTTAGCCTTTCATTACGTTCTTCAATTTGCTTAGGTAATCTCATACAAGCTTCTCTTGCTTGATGCACGGATGGATCCTCTTCTAGTATAGTTTTATAGTCTTCCAGGGCTTCATCTAGTTTGTCCGTCTTCTCGTACAGCTCTGCTCGCCTCAGTATCGCCCTGATGTAGCTGGGATTTAATTGAATTGCTTTGCTGCAGTCACTGATGGCCATCTCCTTCTTGTCCTGTTTCATCCTTGCTGCAGCTCTGTTTGAAAACAGAACACATCTGTCCTTGTGGAAGCACGCTGGGCACATCTGAAGGGCTCGAGTGTAAGAACTCTCAGCTTCTACGTAACCTCCTTTCTTGAACTGTTCATTTCCTTCTTCCTTTAGCCTTGTGCTCTCTTCTCTTCTTTTCTGTTTCTCTTCATCTGGCATATTTTTTTCCAGTTCTAGTAAGTATTCTTCATCTAGTTCCGAGGAATTCACATCCTCATCGGCTTTGTTCTGAACCTTATCCGCTCCGGACTCCTCCTCAAATGAGGCACTGCAGTCATGAAAACACTCTTCTTCACCCTGGTCCTCATCATCCTTGAGCTGCTTGCTCTGAGAATGCTGATCTACAGGATCAGGAGCTGAAGGCCGGGCACAATCTGCTTCCTGGGGCTCTGTAATCTTCAAACCATTGACCAGATCCTCTGGAACCTTACAGTTCTCTGACTTCTCCTCCATTCTGATTTGTTAGGGAGGTGAGGCTGAAGCTAGCCTCACAGCTCCTCTGGCTCCCACCTTCGAGGTCTGTAAGATTTTTTCCACTTCCGCTCAAGCCTTAAACTTCTTAAAATCATCCACTTTCCTTCCCCTCCTTTTTTTTCTTCCCAGATCATTTTACTTCATTCTATTTATTTATTTATTTATTGCAGAACCCGGGATTGAACTCAGGCTCTTGCGCTTACTAGGGAAGTGCTCATTCTACTGAGCCATCTCCCCAGCCCCCAAATTATTTTAATTTTGGAGTAGGGCTCACTTTGTCCAGAATGGCCCCCAATTTGTGATTCGCCACTCCTTCAGCCTTGTAGATAGCTGGGATGACAGCCATATATTGCTATGCTCAGCACAGACTTCTTTTTCTTGAGAAGGGGGTCTCTGAAGTTCAGGCTGGCCTCAAACTTGAAGTGATCCTCCTACACATACCAGAAGCTGCCCAAATCCATGGTTACAGGAGTACATCACACCAAGCCTGGACTTTTCTTTAGGATCTAGTGATTTTAGCACTTGGTACAAACTTTTCTACACAGAGAGAAACACTTAACATTTATATTCTTTTTACTTTTGTGGAGCCCGGGATTGAACTCACGCCCTTGCACTTGTCAGGCCAAGCACTTATTCTACTGAGCCATCTTTCTGGCCCCTTTAACATTTATATTCAAATGAGAATTCTTTTTTTTTTTTTTTTTTTTGCTTCAGGGCAGGTTTGGCTGGCTTGAGTTGTGGGGATAAACCACAGCAACCTGAGCCTGAATAGTTTATTGAAGCAGCCACTTAAAGAACTGAGCTAAGGGGCAGGCCCCCTCAAATGAGAATTCTTAAACTACTTTTAAACTAGGTAAGGTGGTCACACCGGTAATCCTAGTACCAAGCTGGCTGAGGGAGGAGATCACCAGGTGTTCAAGGCCAGTCTGAACTATACAGTAAGAGCTAATCTCAGAAAATGCCCACCGAGGGGGCTGGTGAGATGGCTCAGTGGTCTAAAGCACCTACTTAGAACAAGCTTAGCAAAGCACAGGGACCGCGGTTCAATCCCCCAGCACCACATGCCAGCAGCCCTGCCCCCTGGTGGGCTGAGCTGGCCACACACACACACACACACACACACACAAAAAGAAAAAGAAAATGCCCACCCCATGGCTCAGTAGAATAAGCGCTTCCCTGGCAAGTACAAGGGCCTGAGTTCAATCCCCACTACCACAAAAAAAAAAGCCCCTCCCAATTTTCTTCATAAACTTTATATTTAGGAAAACTTTTTATATCTCTGTTAGCTCATTAATTTAAAAAAATTCCACACATATAACCATTAGTATTTCAATAGAATTTCTAAAGATTATGGTACAATCAATAATACAAAAAAAAAGAATGATAAAAAAAAAAAAAGAATACATCATTACCTGTGTGAATACTCATATGTTCTTGAAGGCTCCGTTTGGTAACAAATGACTTAACACATAGTTCACACTGGAATTGTTTTTGTGACTGATGGAGGCTTTGATGTAATTTTAGGCCATGTTTATAGATAAAAGTCTTCCCACATACCTACAATGGAAAAAAAGTGTTATAGGTGCTGTTTCTGAAGAATAAGCAAAAAGACATTATTAAGCCAGCCTGTCTGGCAAGCACAAGGTCCTGAGTTCAATTCCCAGTACCAAAAAAAAAAAAAAAAAGAAAGAAAGAAAAGAAAAAGAAAATTAATATCCTTTTCAGTACTTAACAAATACCGTTGCTATCTTTTTTTAAATCCATGTGACCACTAAAGCTCAAAACAATATAGAAAAAAACCTCTGTACTAGAGATTGGTAAACTCTGTAACTTCTTGAAGAGAGAGAACACCACCATCATTTCCTGCCACAACAAAGAAAATAGTATTTTTAGGGCCAGCCAAATAGCTCAGTGGATTAAAGAGCCTGCAAGCAGGTACAGGGGCCAGAGAGGCAACTGAGACTGGGCATGGTGACGCAAGCCTATAAACCCAGTTCTTGGGGGGCTGTAAACAGGCAAATCACTACAATTCCGATCTATTAGTGAGCCCCTGAACACCCTGTGTTTAGACCCTTCCCTAAAATACAAAGAAAAAGAAAAGAAAATGATATTTTAAAAATTCTGTGATGGAAAAGTTTTTTGCTCTTTCCCTAGTCACCTGGGGACAGATGTGTAATACATACTGGAACAATAACAAATAACTCTTACGAGTTTTTATACACTTAATTCTATTTCTATACTTTCAAAGAACAATTTGTTTTTTAAATGTTTAAAGGATTTTACTCACGTACACAACAGTCCCCTCAGCCCAAAAGTTGTCTGATATGTGAAGTCAGAGAATCAACTAGGACCACAAATTTTGAGGAGTGATGGAATAGAAGACCACAGGTCAGTTTATACTTGGTATTTAAACTTATGAATAAAATGATTTTTAGGACTTGGCTTCAGAATAATGAGGCAGTAGGGACAAGAGCACTGAGTAATGGTATGACTCAAACAGATTTGACCACATGCTGAAAATTATTAAAGGTGGGTGAGAGGCTGGGCATGGTGGTGCATGTCTATAATCCCAGCACCCAGGAGGCTGAGGCAGAAGGATCTCCATGAGTTTGAGGCCAGCCTGGGCTACAAAGTAAGTTCAAGGGCAACCTGAAATGCACAGTGAAACTCTGTCTCAAAAAAACAATAAAAAGAAGTTGGATGAATGGCAGGATTCATTTTATTCCCTCACAGAAATAAAAAATATATCAGGTTACAAAATTACTTAGTAAATAGTGGGTCATGCTTATGTGTAAGGATAGCTATGCTATAACATTTCAATGCTCCAAGCAGCCCAATGCTAGGTAATCACATATTTGTTTTTAAATCACAGGATTCTTTAAGAATCCTATTTTGGTGCTTAGTTACCCTAAAACCTCAGCAACAAAGAAAACAAAGCTTAAGCAGTACTTTACCTGACCAAGGAAAACTTCAGAGAGAAAACTAAATAATAGAGAATCATCTTTAATGTAGACAACAAACTGAAGACAGACTTTCCTGATATTTTAGACAAGGGAAGGTGACCCCAGAATTTACTCCACCAAGCCTCATCATGACAGATTACAATCTTCTTTACATAATAAAATAAATGTTATGGCTTTACCTGACATGCATGTGGCTTTACACCTGTGTGCTTCAACATATGTATTCGGAGAGAATATAACTTGGGCAATGTCCTTCCGCATATGGAACATATGAATTCTCGTTTGGTTCTACCCTTCTCAGATGAGGCTCCTGAAGCTTCATTAGATGTGGAACTGGACGAGGATGCGGAGGGCGCATCTTTTCTGGTGTGTCGGATCAGATGTGCCCGCAGAGAAGCACTATACTGAAATTGCTTCTTACACAACTAAAAGAAACAGTGAACAAAATTCCGTCTAAATATATTTGTATTATAAAATGTTGAGTGAAATTATTCATTTCAACTTTCCATTTGTTATAACTGCCAAAAATTAATACAGACTATGCAAAACATAGGATGTTAAGTGCCAAATTACAGCGATGAAAGGAATCCTCAGACCCTACTTTGGTTAAAATTTAACCAGAAATTGGGCAGTGACACATGCTTATAATTCCAGTTACTCAGGGGGCTGAGGCTGGAGGACCACCAAGTTCATGGCCAGCCAGGGCAACACAGTGAGACTCTGTCTCAAATAATACATACATAAATACACATATAAAAACTGAAGCACAGGTTTTATTTGTAGAAAAAGGTGAAACTGTTCTCTTGTTGTTTTTGACACTGGGTCTCACTATGTCTGTAGTTCAGGGTGGCTTCAAACTGATGGAAATCCTCTTGCCTCACTCAGCCTCCTGAGTTCTGGGTTTACAGGTATGTACCATGTCTGATGTGAAAAAGGTTATGTTCTTAAAAATAATCAGGACAAGAGGAAAAGACTGAGTTTGAACTGGGCTTTAAGGGACTAGACACAGATAAATACAATGTATTATTGCTGCTATTAATATAGTAGTAGTTTTACATGGAACAGATAAGTAGAAAGTTGAATATCACTCCCAGTGAACTGGGGAGGCTTCTAAAGTTAATTTTCCCGACTGTTTTGGTACTTACTCTGTAACTCACTTTTTTGTACTTTTTTTTGTTTTGTTTTGTTTTGTTTTTTAAGGTAAGCTATTTTGTAGTTCACAGTGGTCTTGAACTCACTATGTAGTCCAGGCTGGCCTTCAGTTCTTGGTGATCCTCCTGTCTGAGCTATGAAAGTGCTGGAATTACAGTCCATGTGCACCATGCTCAGTTTATTTTGTAATTCTTTAAATAGTATTCATAATGAAAACTGATTCTTTTCATTCCTGCATTTCCATGTAAGTAAATGATTCCCACTACCTCACTTTAATATAATTATATTGGATTAGAACAATTTATATCCCATTCATGTAAAAACAATTTCAATAGTATATTAGGATATATATATATATATATATATATATTTTTTTTTTTTTTTTTTTTTTTTTTAATGTATTTAGGACAGGGTCTACAGGGTCTCACTACACAGATCAGACTCGTAGTGATTCTCCTGTTTTCAGCCTCCCAAGTGCTGGGATTACAGGTACACACTATCACGCCCAGTCTTGATTGCTATCTCAGCTCGCCCCAGGAGTGGGGCCTGCACAGCAAGTGAGGGATCCTAAGCAGGAGGATATAAATGTTATAAAAACTGGGTACTACACAGTACACTATGATCCTTTTTCTTGCATGTTTTACTTTGTTATTCTTATATATTCATATTTACTACTAAGTTATCACCAAACGTTCTCCAGTTCTGAGAGATTTAAAACATCATTAACCAGTGGTGATGGCAGACACATGTAATTATAGCATCCTGGGAGGCTGAAGTAGAATCTCAATCTCAAATCTGAGCCCAGATTAGGTAATTTAGTGAGACCCTATCTCAAAAAAAAAAAAAAAAAAAAAAAAAAAGTCAGTGTAGCTCAATGTGAAGGTCCTGTACACACATACACACATACTCCCTGAACAACCCCATCATTGTATTATCGGAAAGCTCTGCCAA